CTTTTACCTGTGGGTGAATATTATTTATTTTTAGAATGGACATAGTTCTACATCAATTTTGTGGGGGCCAAGGACAGGTTGTCCTGACCTTGACAAAACATATTGATTATTTTGAATTAAAGTTACTTAAGAAACACCTAGTGCAAGAAGAACACTTTGACCTTCTCTTGTCTCCAGAAAGCAGGAAATAAATCTCCAAGTAAAAGGTACCCTACCTGTACCAGGAGGTGGCCATCCTTACCTCCACAGACAGGGCATTCAGAGCCTGCTGTGTAAACCAACCTTGTTACTTTTACTAATTTACTACCTCAGTCCAAATCCTGTTTAGAATTCCCTACTATTTGAAGATCCCAAACATAAGTTTTCTTTGTCCTGCCAATTCCTCACAGATTTTTGTATCTTTGTCTAAAAAGTATGAAAACCACCTGCTTCAGTCATTTAAGTCTCAGTTTTGTTATTGGCCTCCATGTGCACTTAATTAAACTTTATTTTTTCCTCCTTATTAGAATAGGCAGTTGGTAAGTATGAGCTGCAGGAAGGGGAGATGGAAGCCAGTAACCTTTCTAAGTGGGTTTATACCCACTCTTTGCCTAAAATCAGCAGTAAGACAGAGCCAGGAAATTCCCAAGGCTGACACCAAGATGTGTTCAGGGAGCTTGGCCCCTTCACGTGGTCATTAAAATTTTTCCCCAGTGGGTTTTCCTGTATGCATTGTGAGAGAGCATGTGCAGAGCCAGAGCAAGTGTTATGTGATCTGAACCTGTTAGCCCACCCCTCCCACTCTCCTATAAAACCAACAAGTATTCAGATATACAGGATTGGTCCTGACCTCTCAGCTGTCTCTGAGAGTGTACTTTTTTCTCCTTGCTAAATAAAACTGTCTCTATCCTTTTCATCTTGTTTTGTATTCCTTGTTGGTGTGACCTGGAGGAGAAATGAGAAAGACTCCTCCCTGTAACACTCCTGAAAATCTGTTTTTTTTTTTTAAGTATATGTGTTAGGCAGAAAGACAGATATGAACTGAGTGGGATGGAGAGGTTGGGGCCCACCAAGAACTCAGAGAGTTAATCAGATTAAGCCAGACAGCCAGAAAGGACTCAACACCCTTTGCAATGTGAGTTTATTCCACATGCCCTGAATCTGGGATGACCTTGATTGAGACTTGCTCTATCTAATGCAGGTGAGATAGCACAGACAAGGGAGAAGCATTATGATTAATTTTCCTAAAAAAATGCTGAGATTAGCATAATAGGAACAAGAAAGACTTATCTTAAGGCTAAGATTCCATTTATGAAAGGGAATTGGGTAGTCAGACTAACATTCTTTGGTAATCAGCCAATGGTTTATCTTAAGGCAAGCAAGCAGTCTTAACTGATGTGTTCCCAATACTTGGGAGTAGCCACTATCTTAGAGAAGAACAAAAGGTTTGTCCTACAGAATTACCTAGAGGACTGGCTATAGACAATGACATATTGTCACTCAGGGGATAATCATAGTGAGACCAGTTGACAAGCTTACACCTCCCACCCCCAACCCTTTACCTTTATCCCATTCTTGAAAGCTTTAAAAGACCTTAAGTACACCTCCTCCTCTCTGAGGATGCTCACACTCTCCTTTCTTGGAGTGTGTATTTTCAAAAGACTTTTTACGGCTCACCTTACTACACTTCGTCTCTGTGCTCTTCCAGTGGTGTCTGTCACTTTGCTATTCTATTTCCAGTCTTTAAGCATAAGCCTTCACTCTCTCTGTCCTACTCCAGATAAGCAAGTAAACCTGCCTTTATCTACCTTGACTGTAGCTCATTCTCCCTTAAAGCATATTCAAATAAAACTTTCATTCTGCTTTACTACTGTGTCTCTGCCCTTCAGTTCTTTGTTGCGGTAGGGACAAGAACCTAGGAGAGCAACCTCATCACCCCAACATATGTATTATTTATTTATTTACCTGATAATCTGTTTCATGTCGATTTAATTCCTAGAACAGCTAGTAGAATCTTTAAGGGTAAAGGAAAATTCTTCCTCCCCAACTATTCCATTCTTACTTTTCATTTTTATAGATATCCTTATTTACATAAATAAATGGATGAAAATAGAAGTCTTATTAAAGTGACCTCACTTGTTTTAACTCTAGGTTATACGCCAAAAATCACAAAATCATTCAGTTTTTTTTAATGGTCTACCAGCTTTTACATATAGCTTAGTTTCCAAAACAAGGAATTGGAAATGACTTGCATTAGGGCTTGTGATCCAATCATTAGTCATCAGCATTTCCAAGAGTCCCTTTGCTTAATGGCCTCAAGTTTTTTACACTGGGGCAAGGCACCATAGAGGCTGGCTGAGAGGTTTGTCTTTTGTAAAATGGGAGGATGATTGTGAAAGTGGTGGTGGTGTATTCCCAAACTGATCTGTTTTAGAAAACAACACACCAACAATTTGAAGACTATTGCTCTGAAAACTATTGGAGGGCCATAGGGTTGTGCCTTGGAGGTAACAATTCCTGTAGCCAGAATTGAGAGCAGAAGTCCAAGAGCTGGGGAAGGAGGGTTACGACACTGACTTAGTGGTTCATCGTTGGCAAGGTCACCACTTGATTGTTGCACTTCAGATTTTTAAGAAGTCAGAGTCAGCAGGGGAAAAAAGAAAAGTACGTAAGACCGTGCAGAAGATGGTGGAAGGGATGGGTTACATAGGTCTCTTGATGGTAACTCTGCTAGGCTAAAATGAATTTGCCGAGGTCCTAAATCCTAATCACCTAAGCTGTAACGAGTGTTTTTATGATGATGATTGTGTCAAACGTTGGACATTTGGTCCATCAGGGCACCACTTATATTGAGGAGATAGTGGGAAGTAACTTACAGTACAAAAAAAGATGTGAAAGAGGGTTGCTGGGAGAGTAGAAAGATGCTGGGGAGAATGAGGTGTATAGGAGCAGAGTTCTATCTGCTCCTTGACCACGTCCATTGGGGAAAACATCAGCCCAAATGGTAGGTGTTATTTCAAATCTCAAATCTGTAACTTAACAGCTATGTGACTTTGGGCAAGCTTTTTTTTCTGATTTTTTTAATAGCTGGAAAAGGCAATTACAGTGTTAGATTATTTAATGAATCCAAAGTAGTCCCATCAATTTGCTTATGAAGGGATTTCAAATGCAAATTTTTTAAATTCTTAATTCTTAACTTAAGGTTAGCATTGCTATGGTTTCACGTGAGCAACATTGTGGTCTCAACATTCCCCCATATTATCAGGACCCCCCGCCACCCCATTGCAATCACTGTCCATCAACATAGTAAGATGCTATAGTCATTACTTGTCTTCTCTGTGCTATACTGCCTTCCCCATGACCTACCTATATTGAGAGTGCCACTTATAATGGCTCTTAATCCCCTTCTCCCTCCCTCCCCAACCATCCTCCCCAACCCCTTCCCCTTGGTGATTACCAAATTCCGAGTGTAAGATAAATTCTAACCGAAACAAGCAGGCCACGAGAGGCAACAAAAGGCCAGGCAGTTTATTTGAGTGCAATCCTGGGCGAGGTTCACCAGTCTGCGCTAATACAAGCTGGGGAAGTCGCGCGCAACCAGACAGGCGGGGAGTTTTTAAAGAAGGTAGGGGGAGGCAGAGCATAGATTTACAGCGGTGGGAGGATTGGCTAGCCTAAGGCACATTTTTCAGGTTGGAAGGGGGCAGCAGCCGGGAACTTTGGCACATCATCATTGTCCGATGTGCTCACCCCTCCCTCCGGTGCCTCCAACCTTACACCTAGTCCCTTCCTGTAGTCTGAGTCTGCTGCTGTTTTGTTCCTTTAGTTTTGCTTTGTTGTTATACTCCAAAAATGAGTGAAATAATTTGGTACTTGTCTTTCTCCGCCTGGCTTATTTCACTGAGCATACCCTCTAGCTCCATTCATGCTGTTGCAAATGGTAGGATTTGTTTTCTTCTTATGGCTGAATAATATTCCATCGTGTATATGTATCACCTATTTATCCATTCATCTACTGGTGGACACTGGGGTTGCTTCTGTATCTTGGCTATTGTAAATGGTGCTGCGATAAACGTAGGGATGCATGTCTTTTCGAATCAGGGATCTTGTTTTCTTCAGGTAAATTCCTAGGATTGGAATTTCTGGGTCAAATGGTATTTCTATTTTTAGTTTTTTGAGGAACCTTCATATTGCTTTCCACAATGGTTGACATTTCCACCAACAGTGTAGGAGGGCTCCCTTTTCTCCAAATCCTCACCAGCATTCTTTGGGCAAGCTGTTTTACCTTGCTGAGTCTGTCTAGTCTGTAAAATGGAATGTGAATACCTCCATCACAGGTAACGTATTTTTATCACCTGGACGGTAGTTACATAGCAAAATAATCATAGCCCTGTAATATATTAAGATTTTTGCATTTTTCTGTATCTATGCTGTATTTCAATAAAAAGACTTACAGGGAATTAAGAACATTCCCCTTCCAAGTTGTGAAAATACAACAAAATCATCTTTATAAAGTCTAGCACAGAGCCTGGCACATAAAAATGCATGGCCAGGGTCCACGGTCCAGACACAGGGACCACGGACTTTCTACCTCTTGGAGTCTAGAGATCAGAGCTCTTTGTCGTATGCTCAATCGTGTTGCGGCTGCTCTCTGGGCTTGTTTCCCAGACGAAAAAAAAAGGGCCCGCTTGGTTACATTATGGGAACTCCGCCAACCCGACTCGAAGGGAGAGAACGGAGCAACAGCGAGCTCTGACTATCCAGAGGGGCAGCCGACAACCGCGGAACGTGCAAAGCGGCAGCCTGTGCTCTCCTTCCGGCGGCGGGTGCCCTAGAGGCGTAGAGCGGCCTGACCCCGCGAGCGGTGCAATGTGGGCCAGCGGAGGTCCCGCCCCCAGCTCCCCACGTGGCCGTCGCCGGCTTCGCGGAGCCCAAGCGATCTCCAGACCCGTGGGATCAGGTGTGTCCAAGTTCTCTCCAGTCCGGCCAGCAGCACCCGGGGGGAGGGGACGGCACAGACTTCCAGCTCCGGCTTCGGCCATAGAGCTCCTTCTCGGGGCGGTGCGGGGCGGGGTCCAGCACTGCGCGTGATGCTGAGGGCCCTGCCTTTTCTCCTCCTCCCGGAGCAGCTTCCTTTTCACGGTCAGACTTAAGTCAGGTCCCTTGCAGCCCACCAGTCCTGGGGACTGAGGCCCTTTGGACCGCTAACAGGGCGCAGAACTGAGCCGAGGTCACACCACCGCGTTCGCGCTCTGTGCTCGTGCCGAGGTGAGTTTCCTCGGCCGCTGCATTATAATTATCGCAGAGGAGGTGGTCTTTAGCCCGGAACAGTGCGGAGAGCGCAGGCTCTGGAGGTGGCCAAGACTTGGTTTTGGATTTGGACTCTTCCTCTTACTCGCTGTGTGATCTTGGATAAGTTACCAGTTTCTCCAAACTTCAGTTCCCTAAGCCGTAGAAATTTAAGTTCCCACATCAGAACTGTAGCGAGAATTAAGGGAGACAAAAGCTTTGAAAGCGCCCAGCGCATATTAGGGGTTCAGTAAGTTTTAGTTGCCATCTTTTTGTTTGCTCACCAACACGAGTTTTCCAGGAGCTCTGGCCTTTGGAATTACAGAAATGCTTCTTAGTCGTGGCGGGAGCGGGTAGAGTTCGCTTGCTTAGGTACCTACCTGCCTTGGGCTTGGGAATGCCAGGGTATTCTGTTTTTGTTACCTCAGAGCTTTGTTAACAGTGAAACTTGAATCTGAAACTTCACCGATTGGGGCTGCTATTAAATCTTCTCTTCAGCCCGTGGGTACTTAGGGCTGCCGTACCTCCCGTCGAAGAGTCTTGATGGTTCTATTCAGGCTTATTACTTTTCTCAGAGTCTGTTTTCTTAGCTGTGGAGGAGCAATCCCTCTCATCCTGTCTGGAACCACTGGGATTTTTTTGCCGGAGATAGTAAATAAAGTGCTTTGGTATTTTCCAGAGGTGATTCTTTCCACATTAACCAAGAAGTAAGGGAAGAAGGTGACAGAGGAGGGAGTGACTTCTCAAATGCTCCTCCAGATGTGAAGATCTCCCCTGTTTGCGTGTGTCCTCAAGAGTAGCCAGGTTTGTGGGGGGAAACTAATATAAACAAGTACCTACAGATGTGTGCACATTAGTACATAGGAGGAGCCAGAAATTTAAAATGCTGGCTGAAGGATGAGAAGCAGTTAGTCTGGCAAGGGTGGAGCTTGGGGAAGGAAAGTTTGCAGAGGGCTGGAGTCAAGTAAGTCAAGAGGCTTGGTTCTGCAAAGTCTGAAATAGGGAGTTTGAAATGAGTTGGTGGAAAAATAAGGAAGGTGGAAACCAGGTTATAAAGGGCATTATTAAGGAATTTGGACTTTGTCCTGAGGGTAGGAGAGAACTGGCGGAAGAGTTTGAGCCTGGGAGTCACATGGTCATATTTAGTGAGTAGATTGTGGGGAGAAAGGAAGCAGAGAGATCCCGTGGTTCAGGTAGGGGTGGTCAGAGTTAGAGCAGTGATAGTGGAGGTAGATACAGATGAACTGAAGAAAGGTTTAAAAAATAAATACTCTAAAATTCCTTTCACATACATTTGGAAGTACAGAAAGTGTTATTGCAGTCTTAGGTTTTACATTACAGTTTGGAGCAAACACTGTCTTTTTTGTTGTTGTTAAGGTATTATTGATATACAATTTTATGCTCAGTTTTTACATGAGCAACACTGTGGTTACTACATTCCCCCCTACTATCAAGTCCCTACCACATACCCCATTGCAGTCACTGTCCATCAGCATAGTAAGATTCTATAGAGTCACTACTTGTCTTCTGAAAATACTATCTTTTCTTTTTTACCACCTCTAGGGTTTTTTTTTTTTTTTT